TTTCACTGTTGAAAATGTAATAAAATGTATTTCAAACATATAGTCCACTAGGTGTACGATACATGTACCACAGATCTATATGACATCTGAAAACCTACATGTATAGGGTTAAGAGCGGACATTTTATTTCAAAATCATAATACTCGGAATACATACGTGGTGAGTGGAAATGATGGACTTAATATAATTAAAAAATCGTAATCAGTTATTAAAAGCAAAATTTTAGTTAATTAAACCAGGATGAACATTAGTTGAACACCAAATACAACGAATGAACAAATAAAAAAGGATCTTTTAATTCCATAAATTGTAATTATCTTTAGTTGTTAGAAGAGATTGGAATATGATGTTGGTATATAATCTGGAGATGTTTGCATGACTTGTTTGGCTATGATGTTATTTTTTTCAGCAATAGCCCTTCATAAACATTCGTCTAAAAGTTCTATCAGATGCAAGGATAAAGATACGAAAAGCAATAACCCGATTAACAGCGAACAATCAAATTCCATAACTGTGGGCATCATCTGTCTCTTAGCAATTGCTGGTGTGCTTGTGTTTATTTATATTAAAACATATTTCGTAAGATGTCAGTATAGCAATAGGACAATACCACAGACACAACGTAATATTTGAATAACTTTTAAGACTGTTAAAGAAGTCGCTTAAATTGCTGTGAATTTTTATAGGAGATGGAACACAGATTTGAAATTAATATTTTCTCAAATTGTTTGTATAATATCATGGCTTATATGTTGCTATAGCAATTCACATGAAAATATAATAAAAGCGTGTTCAGAAACTTCTTTTATCTGGAAAGCATTAAAACTACAAATTTCGGGATGCGTTTGATTGACACATAAACTTGCACTTTCACGATGTAAACTTTATCCTTAATACTTAAGAAAAGTAGAAATTTTGTCGTGTATTTAAGAAAAATATTAAAACTATAATCCAGAAAATTCAGAATAGAAATTTGAGAAAGCAAAACCAACTCACCTGTTATGTCAGTCAGTGCTCAGTGATGTGTGCAGAGTTTAACAAATTCAACAAACCCGGTGAAACGTAAACATTAACAAGTAACAGAGTTCGTGCTTTTGTTCATTACAAGTTTACCCCAATGAAAATCTGTTCTTACAACACAGTAAAAATGTTTATTTTAGCTATACAACTTTTAAAAATCTTGTGTACATGTTTATTTGATGAAATTTTATGTAGAGTTTTATAATAAATGTATTATAATAAATATATTATATATATTATATGCATAGAGGAGTAATTTCGCGAAGGGGAAATTCGCTTATTTTCCTTGTGCATCCAAAAATGGTGTGTTTGAAACTGTAAATATAAAACATGTTTTTAATGTATATGTTATCCTACTTTTTTTTTTTTTTTTTTTAAAAAGGTATATTATGTGCAATTTTATTTATTTATCTTTCTTTTTTAATTTTCCATTTTAGCAAAAGAGCAAATACAAAGCGAATACAGCTAAAATTAACACTGCTTATTTTCAGACCTCCTGATATGCTTTTTCTGAATATTTTAAAACTATTATATGAACCCTGTACTGAAAAAAAATTACTACTGGTATTTATGTATTTTGCAACTCACTTCTTTCACATGAAGAATTATGGACAAATTACGATATTTTGTAAAGATATAAAGAAAGCTGAAAAATTATTTTTATGTTTAGATTTGTATTTATTTGAAAACGAAGAAGGTACCAAGCCAATATTGTCAGAACAGACATGTCAATTTAGCTTAAACTTTGAATATCGTTATTGCTTGCAACAAAGTGGTTTAAAAGTCGTAATTTTCAGTTTATAGTTTTGAGACCTCAGTATAAATTAAGAGGAAAAGATTAAACTTTCCGGTGGTAAATTATTATCATGTCATTACGCTGTAACCTGTTGCTGTAATGTTTTTTTTTTAATCTTTGTAAAGTGAATTCAATTAAATATAAATGTAATACATAATTAGTGCATGTTTTGTGTGATATTATACAGTTATTGACTTTTGATTAGATTATCTCGTTACTTTACGGACCTGGTCAGGTATTGATTGACCGAGTCCGAAGGCTGGGGTTATCTAGTACATGACCAGGTCCGTATAGTCTTTATAGTCCCGAGTACACTGAATTCAATCAATACAAGTTTCTTAAATAGTAGTAATTTTATAACATATTTCGCACTATAGATCTTGTCTCCCACTTCTATAGACACTCATTATCAAATGTGTTTTGTATTAACATGAAATATGAAGATAACGAACAGTAATTGAGCACGAAAGTCCATTGGAGCAATACAAATTGGGAACATATGGAGAAATGGTGTTCATTCTGCTCATTTACATATCGGCCATATTGGAGCTATAATGGCGACAGATTCCATAAAGGTTTATATAGAGAACGAATAAAAACCTTCAGATTTTTATATACTAACTATTTCGGATAAAGTTCTTCCGCCGATGTTTAGATTTTTCTTAATATCTTCTTACGGAAATGACAATATTGTTGATGCCAAAGTGAAAGTTGCGACCGCCTTTTTGATTTGAAATTCCGAAGCGAGAGTATAATGTTTTAATGAAGGAAAGAGCACAGAATTGGTGTCTTTATCATTTTTGGTGATTAAATGTAAGTGTTTATCATAAGTTGACAGAGTTCTTCCGCCGATTAATAGGTGCAGACGAATGCCTATTTTTATAAAATACAGATGATTTATCATTTCATTAAGAGTTACGACCGCCTTTATAATTTGAAAACGACAATTTCTTGCATCAGTGTGACCTACTTATTACCAAAAAAAGATGGTTTCATGAGTTGTCAACTGTTAATAACCCAAATTCTGCCCAAATAACTATGACGGAGGCTTAAAAAAACAAAACAAACTGTGCTTGCAGGTTTTGATATAAAAATTTTAAGAAAAGGAATATTTCGAGTTTATGCAGGATCTTATGAATATTAATGAGAAGTAAATCAAGTGGGAGCAACCTCATGAATAAACTGTGCATCATTTCTCCATATGACAAAGCAAAAACATCCAGAGGTGGGATCGGGTGCCGTAGAGGAGTATGCATCCCCTGTCGACCTGTCACGCCCAACGTGTGCTAATTGTCATGATCGGGTAAACGAAAAAAAAAATCATAGAGAATTCAGTATGAAAACAATGGTCTAACAATTTGTATGAAAAAAACATTTGACTTAACGGTAGATAATAAAAGTTACCTCCCTTGTCTATATCTCTTTAATCCAGAACGACATTAATCGGCGTTAAGTATTCACTCCAAAAACAACAGGGTAGGTTTATATAAAATAGTTAGGTTTAATAATTAATTGACGACTAATTAAAACAAGTGTAGTTATAATAAAAGTCCTTGACTATAAACGTCGAATGACTTTCTTATATACTATTACGATGAGCGCATGTACACCCCAAGATCTTCTTTCTGAAGGGATAATACATCGCGGCGAAAAACCACTAGACGGTAAGAAATGTGCTAATGTAGGTCGAAGAAATAATATCCTTCCACATCTTCAGCAAGTTCAAAAGTTATTTGAATGATTTTATAAACAAAATGTCGATAAAAACTAATGCGCATGATAATGCAGGTAACAAATACACTTGGTCACATAGTTATGCACGGGTAATCAAAATCAATGACCCACGTGTTATGATTGATGTAGCGTGGGCTATTAAAACAGCTTTTAAACAAATACGGGTTTATTATCTACTGCTCTAAATTAAAGTAAAGCGTGATAATTAAAATAATTGTGCGACTCGTAATTACTGTAATGACCATGTAATACACGTATATATACCTATCGTAGTCTATTCTCAAATTTCCAAATATAACATGGAGGTTATTGAAAACTTATTCACTGTTTCTTGAATTCACGGATTTATTAACACCGTGAATATAGCGAATATTAACACCGCGAGTTATTTTCCCCCTATACAGTATTTGCTAACAAGGTCATTGTATCGACCATAAAATTTGTGAAATGTTAACTTTAGAAGAGACTGCAGATATCCTTGTATCATCAATTTATTTGTCAAAAGTTCCATCGATTTAGAAATTGTTCTTACCTAGAGCATGCTCATGCGCATCGATTAACTGGGAGACATAAACTCCATATACAGGGGATAATGGTATATTGCATATTTGCATAAATAAAGAAATTAGCAATAAAAAGTTGAAGTCATCACATTTATCATCAAGTTTTATTGTTATAGATTGCCATTTATGTCCTTTTCTAGTAAAATGTCCAAATATGAAATAGATGTGTAAGACTCTTTGTATCTTTTGAGTTCAAAGGGACATATCGAATCAATGTAGGAATGCAAATGAATATTGTTAATTGATGAAACCTCGTCGATTTAGCTAAATGTCGAATTAAGGCCAAAGTAAGAAAATTCTTTTCATGTAGAAGTATTTGAATAAATTCTGATTCATTTGACAAAAAATAGATCTGCTAATAACATATCAATATTATATTTCAACAGTTTAACAGCTGTTCAGAAATTTAAATAACAATATCGACATTATAAAAAAAAAATTCTTAACCATTAACTATTGAAAGAGTTAAGTCTCTTCGATCTTGGCATCTGCCATTCTATCATAATTTTCGATTTAGATTTCTCTTAACGTTTCGGAATTAGAACATAGTTCCTCGAATTTTTATCCACTTGTATTGAAAAGAACTTCCAAAATTTTTCTAAAATTCGATTTGATTGATTTATGATTACCTTCATTGTCATCAGGGAAAACTCTCAGTTTTCTAGACCGTATTGCAACCGTAGTTTATGACATTCATAGGTCACAATACACTGGGCAGCACTTCAATCCAGTTACACTTCTAAAATTGACCGAGGCAAAATAATGTATTACTTATATTCTCCCGTCTGAATTCGAGTGATCCTCCCCATTGTTCATGTCAAACTTATAAATCCTACTTACCCTTTTACCATATTTACTGAATATTTGAAATAAACTAACACAGGAGCTTTTAATATGTAGTTTTTAATAAAATATTGAGTATATTGCATAAAAACAGTAAAAACATGAAATATATACAACCAAAGAGCACATTTTCTCTTCTTTTTAACAACAGACCGGCTGCTTAAAAAACGATTAGCCAAGCAACAAGATATAATTTTCAACAAAAAAATATTATGCTTAAAAATGTGGAACAACGGGAGAAGGCTTTCTTTCTATTTAAAATTGTAGAAAATATAATAATGAAAAATAATTGAGCATCATAACATTTTGTGATACATGTATTACATGCATATAGATATTAATGTTTATGCATACAATTTGAATAAGGTTATAAAAAAGACGATATGTCGTATAAGTGGAATTTTTAGCGAGACGCAAATTTAGCGATTTGTCCTTAAAAATCAGTATTTAATTTTAGCTAAAAGTAATTTTTGCGATTAAATGGTTTATAGAAAGATAACAGTAACGTCTACTGCGGAAAGTTTTTTAGCGATATCTAAATTTAGCGATCTCATCACTCTCGCGAAAAATGCCAAAATTGAATCCTCGCTAAAAATTTCTGCTTATACGGTAATACAATCAAAAAGAATATTAAAAAACCCAAACAAACACAAATTCGATAAATAAATCCGTATACATTATACAAGTCAAGCAATGTCTAAAAATTAGAACTCATGTTTGAAATCAAAATTCATAAAAATACATATAGATAAAAATATGCTTAAATATATAACAGCTCCTGCAAGATGTCAACTTAAATTATAATCTGGTTCGCTTTTATTGAAGATTGTTTCAAAACTCGAGTTGGGCATAAGCAAAATGTTAATGCACACAAGTATGAAAAGAAATTCCAGCACATAAAACACTTAAAATTATATAAATCAACCATACACGTTGGTTAAAAGCAAATACATAAGGAGCACATGCAGGTTTTGTCGAAAGTCTTTCCTCCAATTTTTATCCGCTTACGTTTTCATTATACTTGTTGTCGAGGTCCATTTTGACATCAATAGTACTGACGTATGCTAGATTTTCCACTCCAAAGGATTTCTGTGGATGAGGATCTTTGGATTCATAAACTGGAGGCTCAGAGTTGGAATATTCCGGAAGTTTTCCCTTACCCGGATCCTCGTATTCCGGAGGTGGCGTGCCATACATGGCGTAAATTCCATTATCAAAGCCATTGTTGAACGAAGCCGATGGAGACCTGGATCTATTGTGGGCTGCGCGCGCAGCAGCAGACCTTCGACAGCATATGTAAAGGACAACAACAACGCCAAGAGTTATAAGAGCTCCAAGGGCTGCGCCAATTCCTGTTAGCAATAAATAAATAAATAAAATTGAAGTATCAAAATAAGTTGCTCTAACAAATCAACTCTATGACACAGCAAAGATTTAGAACGTATTTACAATCATAATGCGAGAATAGAAAAATTAATACGTTGTAACGAAATATGAAAATATCGAACAGTAATAAAGCTTAAAAGTCCATCGGACATATATATACAAATTTGGAGTATAGCAATCACTCAGAGGTGGGATCAGGTTCCTTAAAGGAGAAAGCACCCCCTGTCAACCGGTCACACCAATAATAAGACGATCTATAAGAACACTAGCCCTTATAAAGTTAAAAGTACTTACCGACGAACATTTTGTTGCCCTCAACAGTATCCTCTTTAACTTTTTTCATTTGATGAGGCATACTGATATCTGTGGAATCTGGTAGGGGAAAAAATAATAAATTCCAGTTTAATTAATTCGTGATAATTTTCTTTTTAATTTTTTAAGAGCTCTTTAATAAGTCTTTCTTTGCATATATATTGTTAGATACATATTGATATAACATAAACCAACTTGGAGGAAGATGGAACAAAATTTTCTATTACGTATATATATGTCTATCCTAGGTCTATTGCGTTAGCACGTTAACACAGAAAAGAGAATCTCAGGGTTTACTACATAAAATGCTTCCTTACTAATTAATTGAATAACTGTTCATCGCCAAAAGTATGCAAAAGCACAATTTTTACGGTTTAAAATGTGATCAACAGCAGCTGGTGGAATATAAATAATTGAATGCACATAAGAGTACATGTGGATGTATGTTGACAAAAAGGTTTTTTGCATCACTTTTACGGATTTTTAATATAACTCAATATGTTGACGGTGTGACCGTAGGGCGAGCGCAGATACCTTTTCAGTGTATCTATACTACTATATTAAAATAATAGACTCGAATTTTTGGCCTTTAATACCGATAAATCGGAGGAGTACTGTCTTTTGTTTGATATATTTTAAACATCATTGGTACTTGAAGATTACCAATTTGTTTTTATTTCTTCTTAATTAAGCTTCGCTTATTAATAATCAACGAAAATTCCTCAAAAAATTCCGGAAATCAACTGGATTTTTTGGATTTTACAATCTTGCGCATGCGCATTACATTCACGCTAAATCACGGTGTTCAAATCAATCTCCTTTGCAGAGTTGTCGTTCGTTTCTCTCTCATACACGAATGTATGAGCCGTTGGTCGAGAGTGTGTTCAAATCAGAGAAGACAAAAGTAAATACTAAGTAGATGTATATTTGTTATTGTATAATTTCTCTAATAAGAAATCAGTAATATATATGAACAGAATATATAGCAAATTTCCAATGAAAATTTAAAAGTATTTGTCATAGGGGTCGGAACCGGGGGGTTGGGGGGTTGGGGGGGGGGCTAGGGGGGCTTAGCCCCCCTTTTTTTTTGCAAAGATAGACATAATATAGGCATTGAAAATTGGGACTTACCTTTTTTCGTTGGTTTACCCCCCCCCCCCCCAACTTTCAAATAGCCACCCCACTAACTTTCAATTTGCTTCTGATGCCTATGTTTGTATTATTGTAATCGCTTCTGAGTTTATATCCATACAAATGTGATACTGTGGCCACGTGGGTAATCATTCGCCATCTCGGAGACACATTTATTATATGTTATTTATATCTCTGGCCATCTCAACGGAGGCAAAAAGCTCATGATCGTAGGAGCAACATTAATGTAACTACCCGATTTATTTTATCCCTCCTCTTTTATGCTTTTTTGAGGGGAACTGAAGGGGGGTGTTACAACTCCAGTTAGAATCACATCTTATTGAAGTAGGCATTCTTTTTCCGCCAAAAATTACAATAATAACTACTATATAAAAATTATAGACTCGAATTTTTGGCCTTTAATACCGATAAATCGGAAGAATACTGTCTTTTGTTTTATATATTTTAAACATCATTGGTACTTGAAGATTACCAATTTGTTTTTATTTTTTCTCAATTAAGCTTCTTTTTTTTATTACTTTTTCTATGTACTAATTCAAGGATATTACATTAATTTTTATCAAAACAGACAGTCTTTTACAGATTATATACCTGTCTATTACCTGTGTATATATAAAGTACATGTATATGTATTAGCCGTGCTTAACTCTTTTATTGTTGAGGTCATATTTTGAACAAGTTGAGACCTGCAGTGTTAAAATTGTTACAAAAATTTTTACACCTTTACTTTAATAACTGATAGTGTAAAAATACCAGCTTAGCACATTTCTTCATTTTCATTACTTTGCTTGATATATATCAGCAGTGTGCTCAACTCTTTGCTGTTGTCATATTTTCAATGAACATCCATAATTTCTTTTATTAAATTTCTTTGGAAGGGTGAAATTTATGTAAGCTCCGGCGTGATTCGAACTCAAGACTTGATTTATAGGTAACTGGTGGTCAAACCCATTCTGCGCTACGCCGTTACGCAACAATTAAAAACAAAAACAAAAACAAAACAAACACCAAAAAAAAAAACAAAAAACAAAACAGAATTATATTCACATTCATTGTTTATTTAAAAAATACTTTATAATATGAATGTGTCGATGTATCTATTTTGTAAATGTCCGATATGCACATGGATGCATTCATAACAATGTCAACCCGTGCACGCACGGGTCAAAGTCTAGTTGTTTATAATGTATTCAAACCGCACGTGACATTTGGTGCGTCTAGACTCTGACGTCACATGACGTCGTATGTAAGTTGCATTACCAAACCGAAGCCTGAACAGTGCTGATTTTAATGAAGAACCTTTTATTTACTATCTATCTGCAATATATTCATTAAATCAAGGCGAGTTTATTTTTGTTGAACTTCTGTTGTTATTCTCGCGAGAACGCAGCTTAACAAGCGATGCATTGTCGTTCCAGAATTACTGCGGAAAAAAAATCTATTGAATGAATGTGCAGTTGTCCGACTTTTCTCTTCGCCCAGGCGTTGTCGTTAGAGCTTGCAGTGACGAGCGGCGCTTCGCTGCGCTCGCTATTAATGATTTTCCTATGGTCAATAATTGATTTAAAGCAAATAATTTTAGTTTACTTACCTTCCTCCCAGATTGAAACTTTGAACTGACATACAGCAACATTTCCTTCAAAGTCTCTGGCAATGTAACCCAGCAAATAGTTTCCACTGGGAAATTTGGTATTATTACTTTGTGAACCAAGGAAGTCGATACTACCGATTCCTACATTATCAGCGACTGTTGGCCTGTCCCACATTACAAATTCTGTGGTAAAAAGCTCGATGTTGGAAGGACAAGAAGCAAAAATCGGCGGATGAACATCTGAAAATTCAAAGAAATCACTTGTTTTAATGTATAAAATTCAAAACTAAATCACAAATTTTAAGACGAATCAAACAATGGATGAAAGTCTTGGCCAATTTTGAATCTTTCTCAAATAATTCTCAGTATTACAATAACACTACCCTTCACTTTCACAGCCATAGCGCATGTAGCGATACGTCCAAACTTGTCTGGTTTTGATGTTGCAACAACATTGTGAATATTACGTTGACTGTGTGGACAAACACAGTGCTCAAGTTGCCATACACTAAGGGAAACTTCCAAAGCTTGGCCCCAACCATCAATGACTTCAAGTTTTGGCAAGAGAGATTTCCGAAGGTCGACTAATTTATCGTATGAATTGACCTCCAACGTAATGTGTGATGGGCACCGCTGAAATTTAGGTGCTGAAAAGAGATGAGAGATTTTTAAACATCATTTAACAAACATCAATAATTTTCATTTTTAATGATGTTTCATAGTAAAATGGTAGAATGTAAAATATGTCCATTTTAATTATTACATCAAGGAATCTTCTTAATAGCAAATAAATACTTACGAGAAACTGTGACTTCTGAAAATATAGAATTTCAGAATGAATGAGCATTGTTTAAAGATTTAAGCATGTGATTTATGTATCAGAGGAAATGTAGATCAAATAACATTCACAATCCTTTATAAGAAATAAAAAAAATCAAGGATATTTCAAATGTGTATCAACATTTGCTTAATACTTATGTATTGCGTAAAACATCATACCCACCTTCGCAATATGGACAGCATCTGTCTTTTGATGTTTTGTACTCAAATCCTGGTGCACACATGATCTGTGGACAGTCCATCATAGAACATATAAAGCCACTGTCATCGGATCCCTGACCTTGACCCATACATACACAATTCTGACATACTGACATTTGAACTTGCTCGCCCTTCCGGTAAGTCACGTTTCCAACTTTGCAGATGTTTGGGTCTAGGGGGATGCTGCATTCATGACCACATCCATTTGAACAACACTTTTTATCCCCTGTACATTGCAAATCATGAGAGCACAATTCAACACAAATTCCTACTCTTCCCTCCGTGGATGGACAAATTCCTTTCTTTTCATCAACCCCTGTAGGTATAAGACATAATAGAAACACATATAACATCATTTGTATGTTATCAGTCCCTCAGTCTGAAGATAAAAATGATTGTTCAGAGAAAAAAACTTATATCACATTACTTGATTCGCAGTATTTGCCAGAGAATCCGACAGGACATGCACACATCACATTGCGGTCACCATTTGGAACGCACCGTCCTCCATTTTGACAAGCAACTGGACATCTGGCTAATGTAATAAACCAAGAAAATACTATACTATAATAAATGAAAGAAAGGACCAACCATCTTATCTTTTAATGTATGATTTTATGTGAAATTGTTTGCAAAATTTTAATTCATATGCTTGAATTATCTTAATCTTGTAGACGAGACAAGCCGTAAATGTTTTTAATTGCAATATGCAGTAGTATATTTACAAACATGGCTGTATATGACATGGTCATGATAGCTAGTTTAGATTTTGGTTTAAATGAGAGTGCAGCATTTATAAATGTAAATAGTCCTGACATTTATGGCCTGAGATTCGGGGGTATAAACAGCGGAATTACAGCATGGCTGTGAAAAATTTACATTTAAGAAGTTTATTCAGCAGTGATTAGCAGTCCTTAAGTTGGGCACTTCTTAATATCTAGCGTAGAATTTTAATGATAAACATGTAACGCAGTCGGGTTCTTTTTTGTTAAGTGTTTAAAAAAAGCACATTAACCTGTTTCGAAAGTTGTAGGTGTATTTAATTTAAAACGGAAAAGTTTCTTTATAACAGTATGTTATTCTTTTAAAAATACTTACCAATTTCACAAAATTCTCCCTGGAAATATTCTGAACAAATGCACTTTGGAGAGCCCTCATCTAATCGACAATCTCCACCATGCTGACAAGACTGCTGACATTTAATCTCTGTAAAATGAGTAGGAACAAGATGAAATTTCCAATGTTGCTTGAAAAAATATATTATTTAGTCCATATTCATACAATTTTAATACAAGATTTGTTCTACATACCTACACATCTGGCGCAACATTCCCCAGGGAGCTTCTTGTATGTATATCCTGGCAAACAATCCACCATAAGGGGACAGGGCGTCGGTCTACAAGAAAATCCACTCGGGTCCTCTGTATTACCTTGTCCTTTGCACGTGCATGTAGTACAGTTTTCTTTAGTGATAATGGTGTCAATGCCATACGTCATGTTCTGGTGAATACAAATATGGGGATTCAATGGCGGAACGCATACATGGCCACAGGAAGTCAAACAACATTTGTCTGAGCCTGCACAATGCCAGTCACTATTACAGCTATTTCCACAGAGGTGAGAGCTGCCAACCCGTGGGCATATTCCCTCTTTGTCAGGGATTCCTAGATATAAATTTGTAAAATTAAGCTTTGGAAAACATCTCAATAATGTACAAAAAATTGTGACAGGAAGATGGAGAGAATAAATTCAATTAAAATTCCTTTGTTTTTTCTGACTTTTAAACAGTAGCTAAAGTAACTCACTACTCTCACAATGATTCCCGGTGTGGGCTGGGCCACAGAGACAGACGGCAGAAGTGCCTCTAGCAATGCAGGTTCCTCCATTCAGGCAAGGCTTGTCACAAACGGCTAAAAATGTACAAAAATTGAACCTTCCTTTATTTCTACTCGGTAAATTTGTAAATTAATATTATTTCAATTGTACTTTGCAATTAATTGAAAGCTTTAATTAGACATTAATATGATCTTATATCAGGTATAATTTGGAAGTCTACATCCTGATAATCCATTACATGTAAATAAAGTCCTCACGTGTTTCACATGATGCTCCCCGGAAGTTGGTGGGACAGACGCACTGAGGGGTTCCGTTCACCAGACTACAGTGACCTTGGCCACAACTGGTGGGGCATTCGATTGCTGAGGATATTAAAAAAATATTCAATATACATTAATTTGTTATAGTTTGTCCAAAATGAGCATTTCCATTTTAAACGTTTTAAAAGATATCAATGAAACTTTGACTTATTTTCAAAGAAAATATCATTAAAAGTATAAGGTTTTAAAAGGTTTTATAATTCTACAAACAACTTTAGCCAGATTGATATATTAAGCAATTTGAAACGAACAGATTAAACATGACTCGATATTTCAAAGCTGACAGAAGTTTACAAAGTTGTTGTCACGCTTACAAGGGAGTATTCGTTATTTTCGAAATCATCCTAGTGTGACGTATAAATGTATTAAGTGAAGATAACGAACAGTGATCAATTTCATAAATCCAGTGAGCAAACCGAATCGTGAATTGGGCAAAAAACACGGACCTCCTAGAAACACCAGAGGTTGGATCAGGTGCCTAGAAGGAGTAAGCATTCCCTGCCGCCAACCGGTCACTTTAAATTCGCTCTCCTGTCAATATATACTAGTTGACCTTGAGGGTTACTCAGAAAGCTGTATTGATTGAACCTGGTGTGAAAGGCATGTTATGTATGTTTGAGATCTAATGCAAAAGACTTTTTACTGTGAGGCGGAGAAAATTTAATAATTGTTAAATTGCAGGAGCGGACTTGTTTAACAAGTATTCCTTGTCCAATGCAATTAAAATACTGTTCGTTCTGAAAAGAACATGATGAAATGTAATGATTGTTTGAATCTTAGGTTGAAAATTATTACAAATTTGACAAAGTACTGAGATAAATATATATGTATATAAATTTACGGCATAAAATTACCATGAGAATTTATCACTTGCGTCAAAACTTTTTTTTCTCAAAAAATTAGGTGATTGTGTTTACCTTTACTTTGCAAGAGACGTTTAGATAAATATTGTTAACTTCACATACCTAACGCAAATATTTTGATAAAATGAAATACCTTCACACTGTCCACAACATTGTCCAGGGATCCTTTTATACACCATTCCATCGGGACAGGAAGTGACGAAGCAGTCAATGGTGTAACAGTCAAACCCGGTAGGGTCATATGACATCCCCTCTCCCTGGCATATACAAGTAGTGCAGTCATCTTTCTTCATCTGCTCTCCTACGTTGTATGTATGATTCTTGTAAACACAGCGGCTCGAATTGATAGGCTTCATGCATTCATAACCACAGCTATGGTGAGGACAGCATTTGTTGACGCCTGCGCAGTCGTTATCTGTGTTGCATCCTTGATCACACATGATACTTGACGTGTCAATCGGACAGTCGCCCTCTTTGATAACTGAAAAACCAGTTTCATGTTGCAATTTCATTTCATTGAGCAATGCAAAAATAAAATTTTTCCAGAAAGGGTAATATTTATATTTACCTATCTCGCAGAATCTGCCAGCGTATCCAGCTTTACAACGACATCTAGTCTCACACGCGTCTGCCACGCAGAGTCCGCCATTCAGGCATGGCTTTTCACAGATTGCTAAAATTTGATTGAAACTTTTTAGAAACTCGTGCTCAAAATATATATAAATGAAATTTTAATTGTGTTAAAATTAAATGACAGAACCAACACCAACACATATTTATTGCGCTCATAAGTTTTTCCAATGAAAACATACCATGACAACTAACGTAAATTGTAAACAAAACTAAATTCACTTTAATTATGTATATAAGACAACATAAATACTCTTAATATATACTTACGTGTTTGACATTGGTCGCCTCCGAAATTTTCGGGACAAACACAAATTGGTTTCCCGTCTCTAGCTCCACAATGGCCATTGTTTTTACATTCTGGTTTGCAAACAGCTGTAAAGAATATACATATATAAATGTTAAAAGGGAAATGTTCAAATAGGTGATATAAACACAAGAATTTTTAGTTTGAAAAAAAAAAATATATGTACAATGTCTCAAAGGTCCTGGAATAAAGGGTTAAAATTTAAATATTTTCTTTGATAAAAAATTATTTAAAAATTCCTCGTATTTGATTTAATGAACGAAATAGTTTGAAATTTTAGCTTAAGCTTTTATCTCCAAAACTCAACGAAAGTATTAACTAGTGACGTACTTTATTCATTTATTGTGTATTATTGTTTTTCTTTTCATTTACTTTGAATCAAAAACTTGATTACCCAAAAACTGTGTTAGATATCTTATTGGCTTCTCTCTATAAACTATAGTATTTTCTTTATTATAGCAAAATGTATATATACAAAAATATATAAACTGTTTTTTTTCAAAGTTGGAAAAAAAAAATATTTTAAGTTCATCCGCCTGGTAATTCCCCTGTTGCATCATATGTTCATGTGAATAAAATACTTACGCGTCTCGCAGTGAGTTCCTATGAACCCATCAGGACAGACACATGCGTTATCAATGAGAGAACCGCCATTATCACAATACAAGGGGCCAGTACCACTATCCGCTATTTATAGAAATAAAAAAATACGATTTTATATTGTTGGTGTCATCTAACTCAACCTGCAACCAAGATTACCAAGTATATGTCGTCTAACATATTCAATTCAGTATCGATAATGTAAAGCATAATTATATCTGAAATTGCCTTGAGTAAACCTGATATTAATTAAATGACTATGTGTGACAAGTAAATCGATGCATGACACATGTAGTTTTAATATCCTAACTTACGATAATCATATTCTTTAATGATTAAAGAAAATGCTGAACAGAAAATTTCCCGATTTTTGCCAAAACTTGACAGAATACAAAACAAAAGGTCATGAGTAAGACTTTTTATGATACATATTAATTATAAAATGCAGTCTTACGGATAGAACAATCGCCGTATTCATCTTTATTCCACCCTTTACAACAATTCCAGCTGTTATAACTCACAGTGACATTGTAGGCAATCCACAGAGGGCAGAGGTTATACCAGGACCTAAAAGAGAAAGAAGTCGAAAAGTTAAAGAAGAGAAAGATTACCTAATTCTAATTATAGATCAAGCTCTAAAGTACATGTACTATGACTTGTTATGCAGCAATTTAACATGCACTTCGATTTAATTTTGTAATTCTTGAATGCTTTCTCAAGGGTTGATTTAAACGTCCAATAATGGTGTGAATTTAATAAAATTTGTAATCTTATTAGAAAATTTAAAAGTTCTTGATCCGAAACATAAAGCATAGACCCTGTTTTAAACATATCGTTCAATATAAAAGATCTTATGAAATTCATTTACTTCTTGAACTACTGTGCTTAATATAAGGACCCTCTATACACTAATGAAAATATTTTTCGGGCATAAAGAAAATTAAGGTGTCAATATTTAGTTTGTCTTTTTCATTTTCATATAGCTATAAGGTATGTACCGGCCATTTACTTTCAGGAAAATCTTCAAAGACAACGAAGAAATCACAGCTATTCTCATGTTAAAATAGGGAAAAATACTATTCAAATAAAATGTTCAATCAATTTATTTTAGTCAAATAAAATGCAAATATTAAGAATGCTTGAACTGAGTACCCATTATTTAATACACAGTATTTTATTTAGGTCTCTAAGGGAAGACCACTCTAACGGCACAAAATTCACCACTGAATTATAAATACAATGCAGAACACGCACAAGTGTTTATAGTGAAGTTCATGTAATGCTGTCTTGATGGGGACTTTTAAATATATTTTAAATTAAGTAATTAAGGTCTATAGTAATCATATCCTTAAAGAAATGTCAAAAAGAAAAATTTCTGGAGTCTCTATAGTCTAATTTCAATACACAAAATATCAATCGTTTATAATGACATATTTCAGCCCCCCCCCCCCCCCCCCTCCCCTTCCTGATGCATGTTCATGTAATGGTTCCTCATCCAAAAATTAAATAACACTTGTATATATCGACCAGTAGCATTATCCTTTGGTAGAAAAAGAATGAGAATATTAAACCTTCTGTCCCCCGATGATCTACGTCTCCGGTCACTTCCATCAGTTCCACACCAATTCCACTCTTCCTCAGATGGATGCTCGTCACCATGGTCCTCTTGAAGAGCGTCCATTTCGTCACAAGGCCACCAAATCAAGTTCCAGTGCGTCACGTTCTTGGTTTTGACGTCACAGCACCAATGATCGCCATTAGAACCATCATCTGTCTTAGGGCAGCTACGCCGACGTCTATCAGTAAATCACAGGTACAAGTATTTTGTAATCATTAATTTTTTGGAAATCACAAATTACGTATTTTATAAATTACATTCAGTCATAACAGTACAGTAATTTATCAACTTCAAAAGTTCTTTTACAATATATTCCATTCATAAAAAGTAGTATATGTAGGCCTATACAAGTATGAAACTCCTGCTTCCAAATTAAGGAAAGAATTAAGGAAACTTGACTAATCCTGGCCGTATTACGTCCAAATATTTGCATGACTTTCTTTATTTTTAATTTTCACTGAGAATCTTACGTGGTTTAAAAAATACTTGAACAGATAACAAAAAATATAATAAGTGTTTTTGTTTATGATTATGTGTGATTCGTGATTTGTTAAGGTATACTGCAGGGGTGTGCAATTAAAAAAATCAAGTACTAGCCCACGGGCTAGTGGCAGTAATAAAGTTATTAGCCCCAAGTAAAAAGTTACTAGTCCAAATTGTGTGGGGGGGGGGGGGTGTAACTAATATTGGAAAAAAGTAGTTTATTGGTGAAAAGACCAGGATTTTAAGGTTATTCTTTTTAAAATCAAAGATTAATTCTCACTAGTTAAATTGATTCATAAATAAATTAATAATTATAATATAAAATAAAAATTAATTTAAATAAATTATTTTTCCTTTTTCTGTGCATTGCACTAACTCATCTAAAATGAATTGAAATAATCTTTTTTTTCATTTTGAATTATTACTGGAAATATATTTTTATGTAAATCACATAACACTTATCTTTCAGTTGATTCAGTAATCGTAAATAATTTATTAAGATTTCAGCATGTATTTACCATATAAACAGAGGAATGGAGGAAATTCGGATTGGGAAAAAACGATCATTTTTGGAAGTAAGTAAGTCAGGAAGTACTGCAAATTGGATAAGATTATGGATATTTACGAACAACAGGAGCATGCTGCCTGGAAATTTTTCATTGGTTGGGAATTAAATAGCAAAATATGAGTGAAAATACCGGTAGTGATTTTCATATGTTTCATTGGCATTTTTTATTTTTTACTAGCCCAAGGGGCTACCTCCGTGCAGAAAACCACTATAGCCCGACCCCAAAAAATGGTAGCCCCGGGCGTCGGGCGATGCTAATTGCACACCTCTGTACTGTAACTTTGTTTGCCTTTATACCAAATGAAGCTGCCACAATATTGAATTCATTATGACATATATGAACGTAATTCATGTAACCGGTACGTATATCGATTGAAACATGCATTTAGCATTCTTTTATCTGAATATCTATACACAAAAAATTAAGGATAGTTAAACTGTTGTGCAGAGAAGTTCATGAACCTTTCTGTGTTATACATTTGAGAAGCTAGCTGCTAGATTTACAGTATACACACATTTGTATTCATCTATTAAACACGAAATGATCTGCTTTTGTAAACTGGTTCTTAATTCTATTTTAGTCCCTTTCAAAAACATTCAAGTTAGAATGCTTTTGACAGTATTACCCTGTATTTTCCTAAATAATTTGGGACAACGAATCTTTCAGATTCAGAACATATCAGATTTACATTTGCCAACTGAAATAAATACCATTGTTCATTCTGCACGTTTTCCCCCCAATTTCACTCTTCACTTATTCAAGCCACAGTGAACATGAATTGTCGATTTAATGGAAATAATGAAAAAAAAAAAAAGATGGGTGAACAGGACGTGCAGAATGTCAATATAGCTTTAGATGTATAAAAATCATATTCAATTTGTTAATTAAGTATTTAGAATAAAGTTTTCATTATTGAAATTTATGAAATTATGAAAAACAAAACTTTTCTGAGGAAAATATTCTGGACAAAAATTATTCTGTTATTAAAAAAACAATGTGTGGTATTCGTGGGATTCGAGCCTTAGCAATAAAAATCCTAAGTATACATGTACATCAATTTCCTTTGAGACTAACACCGTTTTTTTCCCCCATCTTTTATTGAGACTAATATAACCACAGAGCTCCTGATGAATGATGACATTTAAATCATGCTGTGATATGACCATTTGACTAAATGGACTTCAATTATTTCCCGGAAAGATGCGAATGATGTGTCATAAAAGTGTATTTTTAAGGTGGTATAGTGGGTCTTTGCTCCATGGTTTTATTAACCAATAAATGTATATTTTGATGCATACTTTGAGGATAACTTTAAAAAAATGGAGCGAAGACCCACTCATATCGAAAAATTTTGTTATAGTATAAGAAAATGATCTTTTTTGTCCTCTTTAGTATGTGTATGCTATTTCATAGGCAAATAATTTCAATCTTTGCGAGATTTTTGCAAATTGTGGAGATTCTACATAAAAGTATACTTTAATTTAGATGAAATATCAAAGAAAATTTTGTTATAATTGAGATTTAACTTTTCACCTTCATGTTCGTCGCGCTATAGGCATTTCGCATGCCTTATTTGCTCATCTTCTGAATTTTAACCAAGGCAGTTATGTTTAAAACTGAGCAATTATAGCACACTAAACATTTATATTTATAGTACAAAGAGAAGAATTTTTCCCAATGACACAGCATGTACACGTATGTATATGGAACAGTTTGATGTCTTATATTACAACTGCTTGTGTAATTATCCACGCCAAAGGGGTTTCTTCCATAAAAAAATTAAAAAAAAAATATGTAAAAGATAAACTACATATATTAAAAAGCGTTAAAGTAAGGATTACAAATTCATGAAGTGAAGGGTACATTTACAGCTAAATAACACGTATTATTCTCATCTCGGTGACTGTTTTGTGAATAATTTGAAAAGGTTTAATTTTTCCCAGAATTCCCCAGAGAGAGAGAGAGAGAGAGAGAGAGAGAGAGAGAGAGAGAGAGTAAATTATTGTCCTTCAAACACTTCACAAGATATCCATATCTATGACCTGAAAAAAAGTATACAATAGAATAATATAAAAAAGAAAGGTATGTATACGAAATGCTATGTACATGTATATATATATATATATATATATATATATATATATATATATATATATATATATATATATATATATATATATATATATATATATATATGAATAAATTGCGTCATACAACTCAGATGGATATAAATAGCTTAAAAAATAAATTTTGCAATATTTTTTTTAATGAACCTGCTGTAATATGACTATTCGCAGCCAAAAAGGCAGAAAAAATATTGCTAGTTTAAGCATAAAGAACATGTCTCCCTAATTAAAACATTTTAAAAGTTTAATGATCGACAAGCGAAATTCTGTTGCACTTTAAACTCAATTTAACATACTGAAAGTACAAGCAATGATAATATGTATGTGACGCATCGGCGAAAACTCCCTTTCGTAATTTTCAAATCGGTCTGCAGTATCTTGAATTTAAATCTTTGCACTTAGCAGTAGAAATACTTCATATTTCGTAGCTAGTAAAATCAATTTTAGTCATTTCAGTTTCCTGATTTTTCTTGTTGCTAAGATACGAAAGGCTATGATATCAATTTGGTGTCTAAAGACGAAACGGCATATTTTTTTCATTTACGATGTTGAAAAGAAAATTAACTGAAAGAAAATATAATTAGAGATTTTCTTTTCAAGTAGACAATCATTTTTTATCAAGATTCAAAATAATACTTGAAAAATCAGTTGATGCATGTACATATATCTAGAATAATATGTCAACAATACGAGATTTGTGATTTAAAATCAAAATCTCAATTCAAACGCTGTTTTGCAAATTCCTCATTATCCTCAAAATTGGACTCAACCTTATTTTTTAAGCACATAAAAATTCCTTCATTTAAGAACGCCCTGTGGGAATGTTTAAACTTCTACAGCCCTTTTTCAAGCTAGGAAGAAGTTACTCGATCCCCCACCTCCCCCTTACAAGAGGGTTCTGATTAGATTACTAGAATTTTTGATATATCATACGAAATCATGTACCACATTTTTGACACATATTGAGGACTATTGAGAAAATATACATTTCTGATTGTTTTTAAAAAATAATGATGTTCTCATAGTAATGTTCTAAACTCGATAGTTGCTCAAAGATTCATTATTAGATAAGGAAGTTTATTCTGAAAATTAATTAAATAACAATCAGATAGCGTGATACATAATTGCATGCACTTCCTAACTGAAAAAAGAGTTCTATAACTACAATCTGCTAAATAAGTGATAAAAACAGTTATGTAACATGCGTATTCAAGTCCATCTTTTTGTAATTTATATATATATTTTTTGCATATTTTTATGCCCTCGTAATCGAAAATTCGGGAGAATACAGTTTTTGGTCTGTCCGCCCGTCTCTTTGTGTCTATCTGTCTTTTTGTCCACAAATACTTTAACCTTGGCCATAACTGTTGATTGGTTGGAGCTATAGCTTTCATATTTCATATGTGTATGGCATGCGACAAGACTTTTCTCTGGGTACAAACATATGTGACCTCTTAACACTTTCGTATCTGACACATTTTTATCAATATTCGTTTTTACATACAAAAAAAGTTAAGAAAAACATATGAAATTTCAAACTATAATTCTGAATTAAAACAACTAATATGATTTCTGCTTAGTAATTAATGATTTATTGAGTAAAATCACATGTTTGGAAAATGTCTGGAATGCTTCTGCATTGTTAGATCTGTTCTTTATATATAAATCTCTTATTAACAACTGTACGGACAAAAATGTTAGCACTTCAGTACTTCTTTTCTCGCAATCTGAATATTTGTGAATACTTTGTGAATTAACCCACACTTACGCTTTGACCTTCAGTGTCATTGTATTTCCTGAGAATCATGGTAAAAAATATATTTTTATGTATATTCATTAGAATACGTACAAGATATAAAGATTTTAATTCAAACAATATTTTATTCACAGATGTAAGAGTGAATAGGATTGGGCAGCAGGCTCAGCCTATTTTAGCCCTCTCCCTAAATCAAGGTATGAGATATAAAAAATGATGCTGTATCCATTCAAATAACCAATCCAAAGAGACTAACCTCGGAACATCCACGTTTAAACCTTTCGATTTTTCAAAATTGAATAATTTAATAGGAGGACAATTTATTATCATGAAAAGAAAACCCAGATTTCAGAATAAGATACACAATATTATTTAAAAAGAAAATATACACTTTGTATTTAGAACTACGTATAAACTACATGTATATCATTTTATGTCGAAAATGGTCCTTTTAATAAACACATCCACTGACACACTACCTATCAATGCATCGAAATCAAGTAAAGAAAAAATTCCGCGCTTTCAAAGTACAAAATATAACTAAGAGATCCAGATTTTTTTAAAAAAATTAGAATCCATGAACTTGAGAACAGAACTCTGAAACTGCGCTGAACATGTGATGATCAGCAATTTTTATTCTAGCAGGATGTACCTTAAGTTTGATTTTTGAGAGAGGAGTCTGTTTCGAAACGGAGCCTAACAATGACTTTTAAACAGGTGATTTTCTTTGAAATTGAAGGATAAGGCGATTTGTGGTTACATAAGGTGGGAACGGATAGTGAGAAAACAAACATTTATTACACTCGTATGATTATATGGTATTTCTTAGAATGTGATATGCACTTGAACTTATGATAGGTTCTTTTGTTATTTGGTGTTTCGTCAGTAAAATCCGACTAACTTGATTTTTTAAAAACTTCTTACAAACCCTTGTGAAGCCTGCTCTATCACTCATAAATCGATTAAAATGATGATAATATCTAGAACATCTCTCCAAATATGTCACTTTAAAACACTTCAAATATGCAGCAATATATGTTAAAAATCTGGTTCCATGTACGCAGTGGTATAGTGATGATCAATGAATTAATCACATGGCTCAAAACACTTACATATGCAATATGAAACTGAAGTTTGTTGTTGGTTTTCCTCATATTGTTATAATGAATACTATATTTGTACCTCATCCTTCTCTTTCTTCCTTAACTTCAAATTGCAAAATATAGACGACAGATGATAGAAATCCTTTTCATTCCAACATATCATTTTACTTATGTTACTTGTTTATGTAAAAGAACTAACCTAAAACGTGACAACCATAATAGGACTCAAAAACATTTATTGTTCAGGGTCATGATGTTGCCTATAAACAATCCATTTGAATAGGTCGAAAAACTTACCTTCGTCTACCATCCGCAAGAACCAGAAATGCTGCCAACACGAAGATCATAAAAATCAGTTTCCTGTTCATTTTGGCCCTCCTTCCGCTCTGCTGTTGTTTATTTTTCTTGTAGATAGTGGTCAACACAATTTCAGATTTTCCATTGTATAATCTAGACCCGGAATAAACAGGGTAATCTCTCCAGCGTGATATTGAAGCTTAGTGTTCTGGTTGAAGGATTCTGCTCAATAGGAGTCGGGAAATCCGCCAATCAGAGGTTTAAAAGGAAAGCTGTAAACTGAATGCATACTCGAATAATTAGTGTATTGACATATATAGGTACACCAGCACTAGAACTAAAACATTTATTTCAATGTTCGTTTTGAGGATTTTCCTTCATTCAACTATTTATAGAATATCTTTGTTGTTTAAATTTCCGTGCTGAGAAACGTGATATTATCCATTAATAACTCACCTTTGCTATTTGCTTATCGTAATAAATGTAATTTATTGATTTCTTTAGGATCTAATATTATCCCTTATTGATCGGATCTTATTAATATTTAACGTTTGTATTATTAGAAAATCACATTATATAAAAAGAAGTGCGAAATATGATCACCATATAGTTGATTTTTCTTCATTAAAAAAGTCTTGATGGATTTTACTATAATGAATTTATTATCCTTTCCATTTTTTTTCAATTTGTTCAAAACAGGATCATTCAGTGTCGATTTAGGACACAGGGTTATAAATTTACAGTTTCATGTATTTCAACTCGAATCCTTCAATGAAAATTCACTTTTTATGTAGTTTATGTCTTGCAGGATGGATATGAGAATCTCATGTGACCTCAGATGAACTTAAACTTCCTGATGATGATCTGGAGAAAGCAGTTTCTTGAAAAGAGTAGAAGGCCAATTTTAGTGGGGTTAATATACGTAAATGGTGGATTCTTTAAAACTTGTGCAGTGCACATTCCTTTATTTGAGAAATTCGATCGTGTCATCAATTATTTTCCAACTCGCATTATCATGGAAATTTACGGACTCGATAGAATTACTTTTCACTTGTGAAGTGTGCAGGCGTATAGCTATTGTGCTCAGTATATTTACATACATCTTTGTGAGAAAAAACATACAAGTATATAGTCCCTCACTCCTAAAACATTCTACTATTTTGATTTCTTTGAAAATGACAGACGTTTGTTTTGACTTTTAACATTCTTTTTTTAGCTAACAAAAATAACTTTAAAGTTTGAAGAAATTCTCTTTTTAGCTAACAAAAATAACTTTAAAGTTTGAAGAAATTCTCTTTTTATTTCTTGTATCTTTAGCCATAGTAAAACTGTAAATGAAAACTTGTTGATCATTACAGCATTAATTTTGTAGTTTTCCTCTCATGTACCGCCTTAAGAGTAAGGGTAAGGTTTATCGTACAGTGTACGTAAGTAAAACATTTGTTTAAAAATTAATATCAATAAGCCAAAAGATGTAAAATGTTGTAAAATATTAATTATTAATACCGGTATTGGTTTCAATCCCTTTTATAGTATCTCAAATTAAAATATATGTGCTATGCATTCATTTCTATTTATATTAGATGGAGACATGCAGAGGGGTTAAGATTTCTTGTAACGATCCATTTAAATACTCCATGAATGTTCACCATATCTATGTTCAGTAGGTAAACAACGTCACAAAAAATCAGGTAGATATTAATAATAGACAAAGTAAATTTCTAGTAATGAGGAGGTATCATCATTCCTCGTCATAAATTGTCAAAAAATACACGAAGAGATAAACAAGTCACCAATAGTAAGGCAGATCCTACAGGCAAATCTCAAAAAAAGTAATAATGGAAAATAATGTACTTTTCTAAATGTGTCACATTCCAATCTGACCTGACCTTCACATCGAAAGAGATAACTATCGTTGAAAAACAGTTTTAATAATATATGTAAACAAAATATTCTTATGACATTAATTTTATCTTAAAAAAAATATTTGTGTATATTTAATAGATATTCAAAACAAAGTAGAATCAATTAATTTTAGAGGTGAAGCTGTTTAAAAAATGATACTTGACTGTTTTTAATTTGTATTTTCTGCCTTCGTCAAATACTTACAATGGGTCCCAAAATGTCCTGAGCATTGCTCTGGTGATGTAAAGATTTATGGTATGGTGTGAAGGACATTGAGCAAGAAAGAAAAGAAACGTAGATTTGCAAGAGTATTCAGTGAAAAAAAATCATTCAGCATTTTTTGTCTTTATTGCATCAGAAAAAAAAACTATTTTATACAAAATATAAAGAGAAGTAACTCTACTATCATTCAGATAACTGAGTGTCAGTTGCTTAATCCTGTGTGGTAAATTTTTATTAAATGAATTTAATATAACTCATCGATTTAATGTTCAATTTTGATGAAATGAATACTACTTGTATTTACAACACAGAACCCTATCCCACTGATAATACTGTCATGTTGTAAATTTTGAATTTACCGGGTGGCAGTAAACTCAAAATTTACTAGTAACATGAGAATACCGTTGAATCACATTGAATGATTGTTTATGAATACAGCATTTGTCGTATACATGGATAAGCAGCTACTTGATCAGTCACAGTCCAGTATAATCAAGTGTCACATTCAACTGTATATCGACCATGTTGACCGGGTGGAGGTAACATAAAAAATTGAAGAAAATATACAAGGAATGTACAAGGAACCTAGTAAGGTAGCAGAGAGATGTTTGTGCCTTCGAATGGAATTGAACCCGGGGCCTATGCCAGTCCAGTGCTCTACCGATGGAGCTTAAGGGTTAATCCAAGTAGGAAGCCATGCGTTACACAGTAACATTACACTGCTACTGGTATACATGCACACTGTCAAGGAGATTGAAATTACAATGTATGACGTTGTGATCATAGTAATTAGTAAAACGGGCTTTGACTGCATGACCTCGTGTATTCTTTGTTTACAAAACTTACAAACAATCATTAATTACGATTGGTCAGTAGTCAGTGGTATTGCTGAGTTCTGTGTTTAAAATGTAATGGAAGTATTGTTTTCTTTGAAATAAAATATTTAATCGATGGATAATGTGAAAAATTTACCACTCAGCGAACTGACTTGCTGTACGTATATAGGACTTACCTTTACTGTTGGACTGACGTAAGCGTTCTCTGAGAATCTGTGATAAATAGGTGTATATTCTTCGACTTGTGTGCTTTTTTAAACTACAAGTATTGAAATTAAGGTTATCCTGTTTATATTTCCATTATCAAAAAAAGCAAAATCCATGTTAGCTATCATCACGTAACAGCTGTGAACAGTCATACGATTGAATAACTAATTACCATGTCATGAATCTAAATGAAAAACACAAAATCATGCATATAATTATACAATCAGGAAGTCCTGTTAAAATAATCTGCATTTCAAAAAAGGCCACATTCATTTAACGACATAGTGCATACAGTATAAACAAAACGAACAATGTAATAGTTGTTCATAGTTATACCATAGTTATGTCACAGTTATTGATATCATTTTACTTATAAAAGGACTTATTTCAAAACACATACATGTAGTGTGCATTCATCAGTTTTTACCAAACGAACAAAGTCATAGTAACTTTATTCATAGTTCTGTCATAATTATTGTTGTCATTTTGCTTTAACCGATTAGTTCATACACATTTTTGAGCTTTTTACGGATAATATGCCATTGATAAATTATACAGGGCGTTACAAAGTAGTAACATATGGTTTTGTGAAGAGTACATGTGCATACCGGTATGTACATTTATCATGTTATTTTAACCAATTTTAGCCGAAGCTGATGGTATTTTTTTGTAGTAGTTGTTACTTTGACACATTCAATTTTACCCTTTATTTGTTAAGTATACTTAAAAAAAGACTTACCATGGAATTTTCATTTAAAAAAAAACTGCATCATTTTCTTATGGCTATATGTTACAAATATTTAATCTTATAAATATTTTGAATTAAAACTAAAGTCAGAAATTTATACGGCGAAATTCCGATTCCTAGTAACATGAACAGTCTAAAAATTTGAGTATTTAAGAAACATGCACTGGGACACCAATTTTGTATCGGAATAGAAAAGGTGTCAGCTTCCGCAGTCTAAAGATTCTTAAATAATAAAGTGGGAGTGAAACAGCTTACATGGATGTCGGATCACACAGTTTATGCTGTTTCATCAGCAAAATCTCTTTGGATAATACCATGTTGGTCGGAATCGCGGAAGAACCGCTGCATTTCATTTCCGGAATTTTGCTCTGTATATCCGACAATTTTATTTCATTATGTTCCCCAAACGAAGTTGGGGAACATATTGTTTTTACTCTGTTTCTTATTATTAAGGTCTTCCGTCTCCAACGGAAGACCTTATTGTTTTCGTTCGGTTTCTTTTTCCCTATTATTATTATTATTATTATTATTATTATTCTTACCGATTTTGTGCACGCAAGTTCTCGGTAACGTCTTGGCCGATTTTCATGAAACTTTCAGATCTGATAGGTATTGATCTGAACCTTATTGGAAATTTTTTTCGTTGATGACGTCACTTTCCATCTCGAGATATTTAGGATTTTCTGATTTTCAGAGGGTCGGCCTGTCCTGGAAACTCCTCCGAAACGACTTAAGATATTGAGTCAAGATTTTCAGTGAAGGTAGGGGAAGGTTTGTAGATTTGCAGGCAGGTGTCCAAATCTCTCTAGCGCAAAAGGCGCCGAAGCTCGGTAGGGCTCAAAAAATGTCTCAGAAACATCTCACAAAATTTTACACCTTTTCTTTTGTATCTTCATACATGTTAAGAATTTGTTAAAACATATAGAAGAAAAGTTGTGCAGAATGATACGACCTTTCATTTGATATCAAGAAAAAGGGGCTGACCCCTCAAATTAGGGTGTCAGAGGGGCCAAAAGTCTTCAACCTATAACTCTTTAACGATCAATAATTTGTAATACATTATTGAAGCAAAGATGCTTATCTTAACGATTTACATCAATATATGATAAGATTTTGATCATATGTTACATAATAAGGGGTCACAAGGGGCCAGAATACTAAATCTTTGACGCTTTATATCTCGAAAAGGGGGAATATTTTGATAAGCAATACTGAACAAAAGATGGTCAGAATAATGTTCTAAACAATATGCACCCTTTCAATTTTTGTCAAACGGCCCCATTAAGGACTTGGAGGGGTGGCCCCTAAGTATTTCCATTCAGCATATCTCAACAACGAAAAGAAATCTCTGAATAGTT